ATTTTTTATTAATATTTTTAATTAATTTTTTATATATTCAAAAAAAAAAAAATTAAGTAGGCTTATTGTCATACTTGCGTAATTCGTGTTTAAAAATGACCGACACTCAATATTTCTAATTGATGCCCTCCCACCCTATCACATTTCATTTCCTACTCTCTCAACATATATATATTTATATTCTGGCACGGAAAATTTTACATAAGTAATAAACAGCATAATAAAAAAATAAAATAAAATTGAATTATACATAAAACAGACTGACTTCATAATTTATTTATTGTGTTCTAACTTTTTTTATTCAGTTTGTCATGCAACAACTATCTTTATTAAAAAAAAAAAAAAAAAAAAACTGTAATTCAAATGAATTTATATTTATTTCTTTCCAATTTCAATTTTTAAAAAATAAATTAATAAAAAAAAAATACTTTAATTTGATTAAAAATTTAAAAATAGAAATTCCAATTTAAATAAAGATGTTATTTAATATACTATATAAAAGTTGTTTTTCTAAAGCAGAAATGGTTATAAATTGATATAATCTTCAAATAGCAGTAGTCTGGCGACAGTCCTTGCCAAAAGTTAATTTCTTTTTTTTTTTAATAATAATTTTGTCTCGCTAAACAAATTTATTTTTCTTCAAAAAAAAAATTTAAAAATAAACGAAAAACTTTTTGAAAATTTCGATTTACGAATAATGAATTTATTTTTATAAATGATTTTTAAAAATAACAATGTAATGTAAAATTTGGCATAATTTTTTTTTCTGACAAACCTTCTTAAATAAAGAGATTTCATCTTTGTTATGGAAAATAAATTTTTTTAAAAAAAATTGCATAAAAATGAGAGAAATCCGCTAAAATAAAGATTACTTTTTCCGCGCACACTTGTGAAACTATATATGTATATATACTAATGTAAATAAATTTCTATTATTTTTCTAAGAATATTTTCTTAAGAATTTTCTTATGTTATTTTTATTTCCCTATAAAAGAAAGATATTAGTATAAAGAACAATAAATGAAAAATAAAAAATAAAATAAAAATTGTATGTTTCCTACTTTTATTATTTGGTATTAATTTTTGTCAGAGAATGTCATAAGACAATTAAATACATTATAGTTATAATCTTCTTAAGTGTTGGAGATTTATATAATTCATTTAAATTGAATTATAATTATTTTATCAAAATCAATAACTGAGTTAAATATTAATAAAACTTTCACTTTTCACTTCATTAAACAGAAATGATGTTATTATACGAAATTATAAGCGGTTTATTTAAATTAGAGCTAAGATAAAAATCAAGATTTTTTTAATTACATAAAATTTTTCAAATGAGTACCGTTTATCTTAATTTTTTTTTTTAATAATGAAATAAAAAAATATTTTTAATATTAGTTTCGATAGCTATTTTAACGCCCTTTCGATTTGCATTTTTATTCTAAAACAAAAAATTAACCTTTTTTTGAGTGCAGTCACAATTTTTATGTTTTAAATTAATGCTTTTATTTTCCCATAAAGAAACACTGAAAAAAATTTTATTTGATTTAAATAATCAGTTATACTTGACTATTATAAAATAAATATTTCCTTGAACTAAATAATTTTTATTTAAGTCAATTAAATTTTATTTCTTTCAAATACAGAAATTATTAGTTCAAATAAAAATTATTTAATTCAAGTAAATATTTATTTGATAATAGTCAAGTAATCGTTTATTTGAATTAAATTTTTTTCCTATAGAAAAAATTTCATTAATGTAGACCAACTTAACTGATTATTAAATTAAAAGAAACCGCAATATAATAATATGAAAACAAAAAGTGAAAAAAATCTAAAATATTTATGAAATAGAATAATTGTCCGCAGAAAGTCTACATAGATAATAATAAAAAAAAAAAAAGTGATCTAGAGGATTGATGACGAACTATACCTCTGAACGGCATCTTATTGTAATTACTAGGCGGTAATAAGTAGGGCGTTGCAGAATGAAATGAAGTTTTTAAAAATGGAGAACCGGTTGCAGTCTCCAACACTCATCATCAGCTGCGAGAGTTCAACTGCAATTTCGCTTATATATATATATATATATATATATATATATATATATATATATATATATCCCATCGAATGAGCTTTAAGCATCAATCAAATGTCTTACCAAAGAACATTAAAAATATTTAATACTCCATACTCAATAACTCTCTAAATAATATATAGCTTCATTACATATATACAACTATGATTGCGCCATAATATATTTTTAATATATATTTTCTCTTCAATCTAAGAAAATAATACCATTAGCCCGCAAACAATCTATCCGAATATATATATATACATACTCTAAAGGAATAAGTAATCAATTAAATTTAAAATTATTGTCGTTAAATTTTTAATTCTACAAGAATAGTGAACGATTTTCCGGCTTTTAGTTTAATAGTTTCAACAGTTAAAATTTTACACCCATTTTAGAGCTTCCATTAAAAGTAATAAAAAAAAGAATGTTTAAACTGACTTTTATGTTTTTTTTTTAGGATACAATTTTGAATCTAGATTCTAATAAAATCTATTATTTCAAAAAAAAAACCTCAGATTGTTTCTTAACATGAAATTTATTTAATTCAAAAAAAAATTGGACCACTTCTTTTTTTTATATAAAAAATATTTATTCTATAAAAATCAAAATATTTGTTATTCAGCAAAAATGTATTCTTAATTCCAAAAATAAGTTTCTTTAAATTAAATAATTTTTTTATTTCACCAATAGTAGCAATGAATACACGTAAAATAGGAATTGCTTACAGATGCTAATTGATGTTTGCTATCAGATTTATAAAAATTAGTAACCACAGCTAAATTTTTTGCTATGACAACAAAAAAAAATTTGCTATCATAAACAATATCAGTCTTAATTTTTAAAAATTTACTTTCACAGCAAACTTTTTTGACCGCACAGCAAATTTGTTCGCTGTCCCTATATTAGCTAATGTAAGTTAATGTGTGGCAGCGAATATTTTGCTGCTACAGCAAACTTTTTCTATGCGTGTAAATTTGTCTGATTTAAAGAAACTGTTCTCTGTTATATGTACATTTAAAATTATTGATCTTTTGAAAATTTCTAAAACAGTTTTTAATTACTCTCTAAATCTGAATTAGTAAAAATGTTTACTAATTCCAATTAGTAAACATTTTTACTAATTAGTAAAATTTTACTAATTATTAGTAACTTTTACTAACAATTAGTAAAATTTTCCTAATTATTAGTAACTTTTACTAACAATTAGTAAAATTTTACTAATTATTAGTAACTTTTACTAACAATTAGTAAAAATTTACTAATTCAGAAGCAAAAAGTGAGTCACTAATTCAAATTAGTAAACATTTTTACTAATTAGTAAAATTTTACTAATTATTAGTAACTTTTACTAACAATTAGTAAAATTTTACTAATTCAGAAGCAAAAAGTGAGTCACTAATTCAAATTAGTAAACATTTTTACTAATTAGTAAAATTTTACTAATTATTAGTAACTTTTACTAATTAGTAAAATTTTACTAATTATTAGTAACTTTTACTAACAATTAGTAAAATTTTACTAATTATTAGTAACTTTTACTAACAATTAGTGAAATTTAACTAATTCAGAAGCAAAAAGTGAGTCACTAATTCAAATTAGTAAACATTTTTACTAATTCAGATTTAGAGAGTAGGATATTTTTGCAATTAAAATAAATAAAGAGAATTTTGAAACAAAAATTTAAAATAAAAAAAATTCACAAAAAACTTTGTCATTAAATTACTTTTGAAAAATATAAATTACTCTGTTATTCTGAATTAGTAAAAATTTTAACTAATTTAAATTAGTGACTCAATTCTTGCTTTTGTATTAGTAAAAAACTAATTAATGGTACAAAAAAATGTTACTATCAAATTAGTAAAATTTAACTAATTCAAAAGCAAAAAATGAGTCACTAATTTAAATTAGTTAAAATTTTTACTAATTTAAATTTAGAAAGTTTTTATCGCATTTATATTTGAAATTTGATATTTAATTAATAACAAAAATTGCAATTAAAATTATTTTAATTATACATATAATTGAAAACACTAGAAAGTATCAATCAAAATTAAAATATATTACATTCAATCTAATTCTTTTTTAAATAAAAAAAATAATAATAAAAATTTTGTGTAATTTTTTAAAGAAAGGAAATTATTGTTCTCTAACTGATGCAGTAAATTATTATTATTATTATTATTATTATTATTATATTATTTTTATAATATCAAATTGTTTTATAATCATCCAAGTTTTTCAATATCGAAAAAAATAAGTAAACAAGTTTTTAGATTGAATTTTACAAGCTATCTACATATATATTCAAACCGGTAATAATGGCCACCTTGAGTAATCGAGTTTACCCTGTTGCTCGGAATAATATCTCTAAGGGAGAGGGTGCAAATCAAGATTTTAGATAAAAATCAAAATAAAAAAAAAACTTAAATAAACATAATCAAATAACAACTTATTTATAAATTAGATAAAAAGAAAAAATTCTTTCCTATACTTAGCGAATAATTAAATTTAAACGAAACAAAAGCCACTGTATCCAGGTGAATTTGACAACTTAGCAACAACTAATAAGAAATTCTCAATGTACTGAAATCCCACAAAGCAAAAGTCAAAAACATCGATACTTTTGAAGGTCAATCTATTCAATCATCAATTTATGAAAATGTCAAATGTAAAAAATTTTTTTTAACATTTTATATTAAAATGACTTTATGATTAAAGACAATAAAAAAAAGAGAAAATATTTAAAGTACATGTCAGATGGAAGCAGACCGGTCGTTATACGTTTACTCATCAGCTGAGAGGTCCAAGTTAATACAAATTTGCAAAAAAAAAAAAATTTAACCTTCAATTTTTTTACGATTGCAACAATAATTGACTAAATTAATAATATTTTGACAATATATAAAATTATTGTTACCTTTTCAAGTGATAATAAATTGAGAATGAACACTGATAATCGCGAAAAACACAAATCACAGGAGTAAAAACTTTTTAAACCCACTCACAATGGAATCTTCCAGTAGACTGACCGGCAAGTGAAGCTGTTCCCTTTTGCGTGCACACTCGATAAACTTAGAAAGGATTCTCAATTTTTCTCATTGAATCAAAAATAATTAAATTTATTTGTTTTTAATAAAAGTTAATGACAATTAAATTTAACTATTACAATCGATGGCAATGTTTGGAAAAACTTATTTGCAGCGAAAATTTAATAGAAGTAACACCGCTGACAGTTTCAATGAACTGTCATTTCTCTTCTTTACATAAAGGTGAGTTAAAAATGAGCTAGCTAGCGACATCTAGTCTCACGATACTTAAACACATTTTAGCACTATGTTTTTATAGCACATTTGATAAAATGAAAAACTTTCTTTTGTTTCAATAAATTAATTAAAGAAGTACATAAAGGATAACTTATCGACAGTGGTATTTTTTCGTTCATTTCTAGTGCAGTAAAACTTGAAAATTGTAAAGTCTCCAAGGTGGCGTTGATTGTGTTTCGGGTTGATTTCAAATGATTGTAAAAAAATTAAATCGGGGTTTGTATTCATTACACGGACGGAAAATTTTGAGGGTGATAACGCACAGTGAGGTAAAATGAAAAAACGGGGCACAAAATAGTGCTTACAGCCTACACTGAAAAAAAAAATTTATTTGGATCAAATAAAAAGTATTTGATCCAAATACATTATTTACTTGTCTATTATCCAATAAATATATGTATTTGAACCAAATACACATTTACTAAACCTAAGTATTTTATTTTATCGTATTAAATAAATATTTATTTGAATCAAATACAAAATATTCAAATCAAATAAATGGAATATTCAAAGCTAATAAATAATTATTTGAATCAATTATGAAAATTATTTCATTCAATACTGCATGTTTTTTGATTCAAATAAATATTTATTTGCATAAATAAAATATTTTTCTTGAAACAACCCAGGTGAAAAAATTAACGTTACTAACGTTACTAATGTTACTAACGTTAGTACCTATAAAAAAATTAAGAGTTTCTAAAATATATTTTCAGTGAAACTTTGCCACTACTTTCCCATTACCACTTTCACTTCCACTTAAACTTTTTATAATTTTCATTCCCATTTCTACTTCTACTTTTTCTAACTCTCATTCGCACTTCCATTCTCACTTCTACTCTTTCTAATTCTTATTCCTACTTCACTTCCACTTTTTCTAATTCTCCTTCCCACTTTCACTTCCACTTCCACTTGTTCCAATTTTCATTAGGGTCATTCCATTATATTTCACCTAAAGTCGTTGCGGCCTAATTTTTAAAAAACTTGGTACTTTCAGAAATGATTCTTTATAATATTTAGGAAACGAAATAAAAAGAATTAAGTTAAAATTTTTATTATTTATCTCAAAATATGTATTTAAAGTGGACAAGGTGCGGAAAAATGTCACCTTTTTAGCATTTAGAAACTTTTTTTAAAAACATAGAAAAATTGTTAAAAGTGTAAAAAAAATTATTTTTTCTTGTTTAGAATCGATTAATTATCTATTTTTTAATGATTAAAGTAGTAAATAAATTAAAATAATATATAAAATAAGTTTTCAAAGTTGGTCTGTCAAATAACCTAATTTTGGGATTTTTATTAATTAATTATTAAAAAGTGGAATTATTAAATAAAATAAAAACTCACTGAATGTAAAGTATTTGCGGTGAACTTTCAAATTTTCTTAGCACTTTTTACTTTTTCCATTTATAAATGTAAAAAATCTTGAGTCGAAAATTGGCACTTTGTTGATTTTTCCGATTTTTAATCGCTTGTAACTCTTTTGGTGCAAAATAAAAACTTTTGAAACCTGGCGGAATATTTAAGTTAAATCTAAATAAAAACTCACTGCAATTTTCGTGATGGATTTTGATCGAGATTAGAAGAAAATTTAATTCCAAAATTGTACGTATATTTCCAGGTTAATGTATGTAATTTTTCGTCTTTGAAGTAGTGGCCCAACTTCAAGTTTAAAAAAATTACATACATTAACCTGGAAATATACGTACAATTTTGGAATTAAATTTTCTCCTTATCTCGATCAAAATCCATCACAAAAATTTAAGTGAGTTTTTATTTAGATTTAACTTAAATATTCCGCCAGGTTTCAAAAGTTTTTATTTTGCACCAAAAGAGTTACAAGCGATTAAAAATCGGAAAAGTCAACAAAGTGCAAATTTTCGACTCAAGATTTTTTACATTTATAAATTTAAAAAGTACAAAGTGCTAAGAAAATTTGAAAGTTCACCACAAATACTTTACATTCGGTAAGTTTTTATTTTATTTAATAACTCCACTTTTTAGTAATCAATTAATAAAAATCCCAAAATTAGGTTATTTGACAGACCAACTTTGAAAACTTATTTTATATATTATTTTAATTTATTTACTACTTTAATCATTAAAAAATAGATAATTAATCGATTCTAAATAAGAAAAAATAATTTTTTTTACACTTTTAACAATTTTTCTATGCTTTTAAAAAAAGTTTCTAAATGCTAAAAAAGTGACATTTTTCCGCACCTTGTCCACTTTAAATACATATTTTGAGATAAATAATAAAAATTTTAACTTAATTCTTTTTATTTCGTTTCCTAAATATCATAAAAAATCATTTCTGAAAGTATCAATTTCTTTAAAAATTAGGCCGCAACGACTTTAGGTGAAATATAATGGAATGACCCATTACCATTTCATCTTCCACTTTTTTATTTTCATTACAACTTTTTTATATTTTCACTCCCATTTCCATTCCTATTTTTTAAATTTCCATTACCACTTTCACTTTTTCTAATTCCCATCCATTGTAATTAAAAAAAGTGGAAATGGTTGTGTAAATGGAAACTAGAAAGAGTTTTAGTCGAAATGGCAACAGCTAATGAAAATTAGAAGTGGAAAAAATGGGAGTAGAAATGGGAATGAAAATTAGAAAAAGGGAAGTAGGAATAAAAATTAGAAAAAGTGGAAGTGGAAGTGGTAATGAAAATAAAAAAGTGTAAATGGGAATGAAAATTAGAAAAATTGAAAGTGGAAGTGAAAGTGGAAATGAGGATTAGAAAGAGAGGAAGTGGGAATGGAAGTGCGAATGAGAATTAGAAAAAGTGGAAGTGGAAGTGGTAATGTAAATAAAAAGTGGAAGTGAAAATGGGAATGAGAATTAGAAAAAGTGAAAGTGGAAACGGTGATGAAAATAAAAAAGTGGAAGTGATAATAGGAATGAAAATTATAAAAAGTGCGGGTAAGAACATTAAATACTTCCTAGTGGTCGATTTTCGACAAGTTTCTGCAAAAATACAATTTAGAAACACATTCTTAATTTTCTTATAGGTACTAACGTTAGTAACATTAGTAATGTTAATTTTTCTACCTGGGAACTAAAAATTTTGTTGAATCAAATATTCGATTATTTGTCATATAAGTAATTGTTTTAATTCAAACTAAAACCTCTTTAATTGCGGCAATTATTATTTTATTTGATCCAAATACATAACACAGGCCTACAAAATTTTGGATTTTGTCAGACCCAGAAACCGGAATAGTCATTTTCGATGTAATTTGTCACGCTGAATCCAAAAATGACAAGGAAATTACTCTATCACGTCAGCATTTTGAGATATTCTAACCTAAAAGCGTGAAAAATGAAGTTTTTGGTAATATTTGACACTCTATAAAATCGACAAAAAATTTTTTTAATCATTGGTCCAAATTTCAAAAGAAAGTATTATATTTCTCCTTTCAAAATTTTCTAGGTACGATCTGATCCAATTTTTTTTCTCTGAGATACAACCATTTAAGTTGTACATTACATGAACTAAAATCCCTTTCAAAAAGAAAAATAAATTGCAAAATACTCATATCACTGAAACTTATTTCTCGGAGATTTTTGAGGTCGCTAATTACGAATCTGACGTCAGATTTTTGAATTTCAAAATGTCGGATCCCATATGGCGGACACTTTTTAAAAAATTTACCGAATTCGCTTGTCATTCATTACTTGGGAGTTTTTAGGGTCGCTGATTACGAATTGAATGTCAGATTTTTGAATCTGATATCACATTTGTAATTAGCGATTTTAAAACCCCCTGAGTAACAATTTTTAGTGCTATGAGTACTTCGCAATTTATTTTTCTTTTTTAAAGGGATTTTAGTTCATGCAATGTAAAACGCAAATGGCTGTATCTCAGAGAAAAAAAATTGGATCAGATCAAGCCAACAAAATTTTGAAAGGGGAAATATAATACTTTCTTTTGAAATTTGGACCAATGATTAAAAAAATTTTTTGTCGATTTTATAGAGTGTCAAATATTACCAATAACGGCATTTTTTACACTTTTAGGTTAGAATATCTCAAAATGCTGACGTGATAGAGCAATTTGCTTGTCATTTTTGGATTTAGCGTGATAAATTACATCGGAAATAACTATTCCGGTTTCTGGGTCTAAAATTTGTAGGCCTGTGTAATTTATTTGCATAAAATGTAAGAATTTTTTGATTCAAATAAATCAAAATTTCAATTGAATAAATAACATATTTATTTACTAATTCTTTCATTTCTAAATTAAATTCTTACTCAAATATAAATAATAATGATCGGATATTTTCATTTTTCAACTAATTCATACATAGAATTAATGATTAAACGCAAACCTGAGAAATAAATAAATCTAACGCATGGGGGGAATCGAACCTACGACCTACGGACTATGAGTCTAACGCTTTACCAACTAGGCTACGTGAAAACGAATGTTAACTTCTTGATGTCATTTAAACTTCCAAAAGACCTAACTCAGAAAAATGCTTAACGTCATTTAGTTAAAATTAAGATAGTAAATTATATTTTCCAATTAAATGCAATTAATAAAGTATAATTAATTATAATCTTCATGATTATTATCATCTTGAATCATCCCAGGTAAATTTTCAAAAAAAGTGTACTTAAATATTTTTTTATTAAAAACGCGTTTTTCGTTGTTTTTAATCATTGTAAACATTAATTTTTTATTGATGAAAAAATATTTGACTTTTGGGCATAGAATATTAAATAATAATATAAATAAATAAATAGTATCAAATGACTCATTATTTTCGTTTCAAATAAATATTTAATTTATTAAAATATTATTTTATTTGTCTTGATAAAATAGTGTATTAGAATTAAATAATGAATTATTTGTATTAAATAATTCAGTTTATTTGAATCAATTACATAAATTTATTGTGTCAAGTACTTTTTATTTGTATCAAATAAACGAAATATTTGAATGAAATAAATGAATAAATAGTTTTAAGTAACTCATTATTTATGTATTAAATAAATTCATTTATTTAATTCAATTAATTATTTAATTGAACCAAATACGATTTATTTAGTTCAAATAAATACGATTCAAATAATTCAAGTTATTTGAATCAAATACATATTTTTTCGATCCAAATAAAAAAAAGTATTTGAACCAATTAAATATTTCTCAAATAATTTGAAGTATTTGAATCAAATAAATTTTTTTTTTCAGTGTACAAATCTCAATGAATTACAGAATTTTTTTTTAAACACTCATTAATAAGTTTGCTTTAATTGTTTAAACAGTTTTCCATTAATAAATTAAAATATTTACCTTAATAACGAATTTTCAGCTTCAAGGAGATTCTTTCAAACTAAATAGCCCAAGGAGATCCCTACTTTCAAGTTAAATTTCCATTCAGAAAATGTGAAAAATAACCGTAAAAATAGACCGAGTTCTAAAAAGTCTGAATATAAAGAATTCTGTTTCCCCCTTTTTACTTTTGCCCTTATCTTTGAAGTACGTGACACCACAAGCCATCGAGGATAGAATCTGCAAAAAGAAAAATTAAAATACTGTCAGCGCTGTACTAACATTTAGTTAAATCTTTAACCGGTCAGTAATGTAGAAAGCTATAAAAAAATTCATTTCCATAAATTTGACAAAAATAAGTGTGGCATCGAGACTAAACCTAAAGTAATCGAAAAACACAAAAATCTAGAAAATATGACGATGATTACGAATCTGCAGTCAGATCTTCAAAATCCAAAATGGCGGATCCAATATGATGGACGATTTTTTAAAAATTTGATCAAATTTGCTTGGAACTCGTTATACTAGGAAAGTTTTGGGGTCGCTGATTACGAATCCGGTGTCAGTTTTTTAAAATTCGAAATAGCGAATCTAATACAGCAAAAAAATCTTAAATGTAGCCAAAATTTTATTTGTAAATCCGACTTCTTTTGGATGATGTTAATCTAAATATAAACACGAATTTTTCGGACTAATTCCGCAAGGTAGGCTTTATTCAGCAAAGTTATTCGGGTGAAACTATATACGTACTAGATTGATTGATAAATCATATACATCTCAAATAACTATAGTAAGGATTCGTGGTCACATATTTTTTTCTTGAATATCTTTAAATAAACAAGAAAAGTTTCCTATAAAATAGAAAGAAAAACTAAAAAACTGTTTATAATTTATCTAATGAATTTTATTTTTTACGTAAAAATCATGGTGACTTAACATGAATCACTACAAAAAGTTTTGTTTTTCTTCTTCTTGATTACTATTCGAAGATTTTGAAGAAACTAATATATAATGATGAATAATTCCAGTACATTGAACATAAATTGATTTCATATTTTGATTTTTTTTAACGTGTGATGATTTAATCAATTTGTTTACTATAAAAGATTTAATAAATACTATTGAAATATCAAAACCATTATTTTATTATAAAACAGTAGAAATTCCTTTTCATTTTCGCACAGAATTCAATACAGTGAAATATGACATTGATGTTTGAAGAACCTTTAAGTAATATCATTATAATTAAAGATAATTTTAATTAAATCATTCAGTAATTTATATAATTTTATAAAGTCAAAATTGGTATTTCGAATTTTATAATCATGTGAGTACAAATTTTTAGAATTTTTTTAATTTTCAATTTGTCATTTATAAATTGTCTTTCTTAAAAATAAAAAAGTTATAAGGAAAAATAAAATAACCTTTAAAAAATGATACCCTTTGTTTGCTGACCAGAAACGCAAGTGCCTGCGCTTGGGCTACGACAATTTAAAGGTCGAGAAAATTACGGTTATATAAAAGCATTTTCACTATTGAATTTATTGTTTATTTGTTAACCATATTGCTTTCTAATTAAAAAACTAATTTTCTTAACGTACTTAATTATATATACATATATAATAATAATAATTATTATTATTATTACATATTATTCTTCTTTAGATCCTTAATTTTTTGCATAAACAGTGAAAAATCTTGCAGGAATTACTAAGGTTTTAGTTGATTGTAAGTTATATATTGCGCTCTTATTAACTCTTGGAATAAAAAATTAATGATAAAAACCTTACCTCAATAAAAAATTTATATTTAATGGGTTTTAACTAATTAGCATTTGTTAAATAATAAAAAATTAAAAGTAAACAAAAAAATTAAATGTGATTCATTTTACTTACAATATTTTCTTAAATAATAAATTTTAATTTAGATTTCAAAATTTACGTTATCTTATGAACTCAATATATGAATTAAATTATTGTATTAACAAGTATTTTTTTAATAAACTATATGCAGGATAAAATATTTATTAGAGAAAATAGTACTTGTTATGTTAATAACATAAAATTCTATATTTACATTTTCTCTTTAAATTATAATTAAATTTCATATGCGCTTTATATTTTTTTACTGAGTTAATGTTTAATAAACTAAATTAGTGTAATATAGAACGCGTGTAAACTAGTCCGAAATCTGCAAAAACTTATGCTTTTAAAAAGTTTTTTTTCCATTTGCCAAAATAAATATTGTCTGCGTTCTGAAATTTTGTCAACAAGAATGCTTTCTGACTGAAATTCAGCATCAAATGATTTCTATTGAAAAATTGACTTTTTAATTTAAGGACTTCTAAATTAAAATAATCTTTTAATGCTGACCAAATACTTGAATATTCCTTCTATACAATACTTATGAGATAACTATCTAGTTGTATCAAGTTTTAAAATTATACTTGATTCACCTGAATAAAATTCTTTAATTTCAGTCAAATGAGCAACACGTTTTTCACTCCGAGAAAAATAAGTGGAAATCATTGATAATAATTGAGTTAAAAACGTGGAAAATGTTTATTGCAGTTGTCTTTCGTAATCAAATGTGACGAACGATAAATAAAATTTATTAAAATTGCATCTGGTACATCTTATTTTAATTTTGAAAAAAAAATTACAACCGACTATAACCCAGGTATTATCACATGGTTGCAATATTTTCTAATGGAATATTTTTTTGAATCAAATTGTACTTAAAAGAACTATAAATATTTTCTGATCTGCAGTCTTGAACATCAAGTTCTATTAAATCACACGAATCTGTTACAATTTTTTTTCCGGAGACAAATACTGAACCAAAACGCACAAAAGTTTTTCATCATTTTCATTATTTATTTTCGACGTCTCAGTTGCAATGCACGTTTTCAAAATTTCATTTGCAGCAAAAATTTGCACGATATGTTTCGTACAAAAGCAATTATTAATAATAATAAATTTTTTTGATGTTAAATTAATATTATATGAAGTGCAATATGCTTTCTTTGCTTTAGTTTTATTTGGTTGTAGCAATCTTTAAATCGCGAAGCTTTTAGCCATGCAATTTTCGTATCATTAAGCATTTTATATAAGTACCCTTTTTTTACCTATAAGAGTGTTGTCGTAGTACAAGCGGAGTTGTGTTTAGATACGGTCATTGCTACCAACAGTTTTATTTTTTTTTTTTTATTAAACTTTGCGTTTTTTATTGTCTTTTTGTCTATGTCAACTAATTTTATAAAACACATTTTAACAGTTCGTTGGATATGGATTCTATGTCAAGCAAAGCAAATAAATTTTATATTTTATTTTTAACGTTTTCATACCTTTTTGAAAAACTCTAATGAAATTATGAATATTTTGCCAACAATAAATGTAGTGGGTTCAGATCCTTTTCTCATTACTATGAGTAACAATTTTTTTGATTCAGTTGACAGATGGTACCAATCTGTATTGTATCTAATAAAATCAATGTTTAGTTTTATATATTAATTTTGCATCTTGCAAAACGACACATGAAAAAAATCGTTACTTATACAATGTATATATAAAGTTCATAACACTAAATTATTTTTTAACAAGTTGAGATGATATGTACATAGAGGTAGTTAGACTAAGGCTGTTATCCAGTAAATGCTGAGTTGGTAGAGTTAAAAAGAAAATATGTAACACTTGACTTATTGCGTAACCGCCAAACCTTATTCCTTCCCCAGAAGTCTTCACAGTCATCATATACTGAATCGCATATAAATATTAGAGTCTAGGTTAATATTATTTTTTAACAGTTATAGTTTATGGATGCAAAAACTTCTTTATTTACCTGGACAGCTGTAATGCTTAAATCTACTATAAAGAGTCCAAATACCAAAACATATGCAATTGAAAAAATATCTTGGATATCACTCACAAATCTCGCAAAGTAAAATATTTTAGTTAATATTTTAATAAATATTAATAGTAATAAATAAATATATCTACACGAAGAATTAAGATTTACGAATTAACAAATTAATGCACCTATCATTCTTCCACTTTTTCACACTTGTACATTGAATTGTCTAATGATTGAACGAAGAATTTAATTCTTCACAACATATTTTGCAAGGCATTCAATATAGTATAAATTTTACCAAAAACGAATCGTATACTTCTGTCAAAAAACTATGCCAATGATTCAAATTTCAATTTTTTTAATTACTTCGTTCAATCACGAGTTATACTCATATTCTGCATTTCACTATATAAATTTAATTAATTCCAAATAAAATTTCTGTTATACAAACAATAGAACTCTTCTATGCATTTCCACGCAAAGTTTAATTTCCCCTAGGAGCTTTTTTTGAGAAGTAACTTTATTATTAGAATCAATATTTTCTTTTATGGCAATAGTCAATTTATTCCTGTGAACAATTAAATACGTAGTAGACATTAAATAAAGAATTGCGACTCTATCTTATGTAATTTATTTTTTCAATAACTTCGCCCAAAGTAAGACTTTGAAGACTTGTTAATAGTAATGAATTTATTGACTCTTTAATTACTTTATCTTACAAAAACGAAAGTACTTTATCTTATAATTAACGTCGCACTTCTCACTCAATAGTTTACTAAGTTTTGTTTTTTTTAACTGACATGTTCTTAAATATTAAAATAATTTTCTCTTAACTAATACACCGTCCGACACGATTTTTCACACACGAAAAAATCAATGATTTTCAAAAACTAGGACCAAAAAAAAAGATACCCGTGTCTGGCCGTTTTGCTATATCAGGTCATTTTTTGCTTTTAGGGGTAAAAACAACCCTTAAATGAAAGGTGACAGGAAATCTTGTACAAAAAAATAATTTTTTATGAAACCTGGTATCTCGGAGTTTTCCGGGTCGCTGATTACGAATCTGATGTCAGATTTTCAAAATTCAAAATGGCGGATCGAATATGGCGGTTGAAATTTATAAAAATTCACCAATTTATTTGAAAGTTGTTACTTAGGGGTTTTTGGAGTCGCTGATTACGAATATGATGTCAGATTTTCAAAATTCAAAATGGCGGATTAAATATAGCGGTCGAAATTTATAAAAGTTCATCGAATTCACTTGAAACTTGTTACTTGAAGGTTTTTGGGGTCGCTGATAATAACATAATAATAATAATAATAATAATAATAATAATAACATAATAACATTTATAAATTTCGACCACCATATTGGATCCGCCATTTTGAATTTTGAAAAGCCGACATCAAATTCGTAATCAGCAACCCCAAAAACCTTCAAGTAACAAGTTTCAAGTGAATTCGACGAACTTTTATAAATTTTAAAGGCCATATTGAATCTTCCATTTTGAATTTTAAAAATCTGACTTCAGATTCGTACTCAGCGACCCCAAAAACCCATAGACACCAAGTTTTATAAAAAATAATTAATATTTATAAATTTCGACCGCCATATTGGATCCGCCATTTTGAATTTTGAAAATTTGACATCAGATTTGTAATCAGCGACCCGGAAAACCCCGACATACCAGGTTTCATAAAAAATTATTTATTTGTACAAGATTTCCTATCATTTTTCATTTAAGGGTTGTTTTTACCCCTAAAAGCAAAAAATGACCTGATCTAGCAAAATGGCCAGACACGGGTATCTTTTTTTTGGTCCTAGTTTCTGAAAATCATTGATTTTTTCGTGTGTGAAAAAAAAGTTGAATTTTGTCGGACGGTGATATCAGAGTTCCACTTTTATTGCAGTACACTGGAACCTTATTTCAGCATCGAGTTCTACAGTCTGGTGGTTAAAACCGATTCTGCCGACAACCCCAAAACAATGGTTCCAGTGTAATTGATAAAAGTATCTCTGTAACAAGGAAGGAGCGATGATTACGAGTTCAAAATTTTTAAATTACAACTTAAAATATGAAGTGAACTTAATACTTGTCAAACTCATTCACTTGTTGCACAGTATAATATTTCTAAATTTTTAATTATCCTAAATTGAATCGCATTTAACAAGCAAATCACCAAATACACAAAAAGTCTTCAGCAGGTAATAACTATTTAAATTTAAAACGAATCAAGCGTTCTTAACAATTTTCGTTAATATTTGGTGAATTGTATGCTAAAAATGAGATTTGGAGTTTTTAAAAAATATACTTATAAAAGTTATAATAATTAATTGAGTTTACCCTATAATGTCAAATATTCCACAAGCATGCTCAAGAAACATTACAAGAATTGTACCTCCATGTATAATTCCATAAGTACAAACGACACCAATTGTATAACTGTAAAGTAACAACAAACCATAATATTTTTTAGAATCTATACCGCACTCAAGAATGAACATATGCGGCTTTGGTTTATTACTATGTTTAATAACATTAATCAACAAAGGAATGCTGAATGCTGAATAGTAGAGTAAAACATTTCCAAATAATCCATCTGAAAAATGATAGTTTAAAAAAAGCTGAAAAGCAATGTTTCATTAAATAAGGACGGTAATAAAGTTATATTTTATAAAAAATAATTCTGAAGATTTTTATATAATTTTCTCAATATTTGAATTATTTTTATAATATCAAAATATATACAAGTGTATATCTTAGTATATGTCCTGCATTTTCTGCCATATTTATGTAGAATAGCAACTTCATCTTCAGATGTTAGTGTCTCCCAATGATTTCTGATTTTCCATAAAATAACGTTTATCTACAAAGAAATTATACTAGTATAAAGCTTCTCAAAAATTAATTCAAAGAATTTAAACTGATTACTTTTTTTACTTGCAGATTGCTATTTATATAGAGAATTGAACTCATTAAACCATAACATATTGGTGGAATGCACTCCAATACCAATTCAATATTACCAAATACTTTTATCATTCCTGCAATCTAATATTATTAATATTTATATAAAAACAATTGTAATTAAACAATAAATTACATAAGGATACAAAACTGTTTGACAACAAGTCAATGAAAAATTATTTATTTCGTCCATTGATGTCGCTATTTTATATATAGTTATAGGCGTCAAAACAAATAATAATTTTTTTCTAGACTTGTAAAACAATTTAATATCCTCCACAAGACGACACCTTAAAATCATTTCTAAATAATAAATATATTACCTGAGCACCTACAGACGAAAACAAAATAAAAAACATGAATGATTTTGACAAAAAATTAAACCACATAGAATGATGTTGACTTAATCCTAATAATATTACAGTATATCTGGTAATATTGTAGTATGACTTCTTTACTATGTCCATCTCTTCGATGCATATGCAATATTAGAAAAAAGTAATGTGTTTTAGTTCTTTTTGTGAGCATCCTATCTCTCCGTACAAAATCATTATTGTATAATTAAATATTTATATTGACGCTAAGGGTTTCCTTAGATCAGTTAGATGTACGTGCAATTAAAATTATTGAAATTTTTATATCTAAACTCGAAGAGTTGACAGTATTTAAATATTTATGATTTAACGTAAAGTGTTTCGCCGGAACGGCTTAACGTATCTATAATTATAATAATTGCCATTTCTATATTTTGACTGAAAGAGTAGACAGTGTCTGTAATTATAATAATAAGAGGTTGTAATGGTTATAGCACTGCATAAAAAAAGTAATCAATACTCTGGTTGCATTTTAGTGTCTATAGATTTTGTCGATAAAACTAAGCAAGGAATCAGTTATCTTTTTGTTTTCATAGACAAAACACTCTATACATGCGGGTATACATCACGTACGTTAGATTAAAGATGTAGTTTGTTTTTATAATTGCAATATACACTTCTTTTAACTAGGTAGAAATAAAGAAATATAAATATAAGTCTTTTGTGTAGGCCTTTGTTTTTTAAAATGTTTTGGTAGTACATAGTACAGTATTAGTGTCTTCTTTTTGTGCATTTTTACTAAAGCTTTGCTTTTGGTAAATAACACATTTTTTTAGAAAAATTTTGAACAGGACCCAGGAACAAGTGCAAAAAATGGCTAATAAAAAATTTTTTTTTTGGTTTTAAAGAATAACAGATGTTTTCTCAAAAAATGCCAAAATGTTGAGATAAGTTTGGAGTACTGAGAATTGTTTTTTTATGAAGAGACCCCATTATAGAATAGCTGTGGTGACGCCTATGGGAGGGTGCTGAGTGCCGGCTGAGAGTTTTAGCGCGCCTAAAAAAATCGTTTTTTTAGTTAGTATAGGAAATTTCAACAAAAAAAATTAGTCAAGTACGGTTTACACTCGCTCAGTAAGGGCTCGTTCACGATTTTTTGAAATATAAAGATAAAAAAAGAGGAATTATTATAGTGAACCGCATTAGGGTTAAAGTTAAGAGATAAGATACGATTTTTCAGGAAATTTTAGTTTATCTTTAAAAACGATTTTCAAATCAATTTTACTGTAGTATTTCTATTATATTTTTCCTGAAATCTACTGAAATAGATGATTAAGCTTTACAATTAATTTGTTAGAATTTTTATTTAACAGAATTTCATTATCTAGGGTGTCGATTATGTAATTTGATTTGACGTCAAAATCCAATTCATTTTAACTTCAATGTCAAATTTAATTCAACAAATTCATTGTTTTATTTAACTTAGAAGTTAAATTAAAATTTAATTTTTTATTTCAATTTAACGTCGCATTCAAATTTATTTTTTGATAGCAATTTGACGTATATTGCAATCAAAAAATAAATTTGACTTTGACGTCAAAGTCAAATCAAATTACATTAATCGACACCTAGAATTTACTTTTAGTCGAATTTTTATTTCTTTGAATTATTATTTAACAGAATTTCCAAATTACAGAATTGTTTCTTAAACAAATTTCTATTATACAGACTTTTTATTTATTCGAAATTAAATTTGTCAGAAATATTATATGCTTAAATTTTCATTAAATAAAAT